TGTGTGTGTCGTCTCTCAAACACTAGTGCCAACATAAGTGAATCTCTGCTCGCCATGCACCCATCAGATGTCCTGGATATGCCTGTGGACCCTAATGAACCCACATACTGTTTATGTAGTCAAGTATCATATGGAGAAATGATTGGATGTGACAATTCTGATGTGAGTAATAGTTATAAAATATATATAATTAAAAAATTATTTTTAAGCCATTGTTTGAGAAAACACAATTGTCACACAGAAACAAGTACCATTTTACATAATAAAATAAGGAAAAAAGAGACTAATGGATTTAATTATGGTTTATAATATGCAAAATACTGCCAGTCCAGTGGGAATAGGCATTTCTTTTTGTAAATAATAGAGAAAAGTCATCTTATTGTTGGTATGTAAAAGAATTAAAAAGGTTTCTTCTCTTTTAACAGTGTCCAGTAGAATGGTTTCACTTTGCTTGTGTCGGCCTAGCAACCAAACCAAAGGGAAAATGGTGAGCCAAATCCCTTTACTTCATATTTATTTTATTTGCATACTTCATATACTGACTGACTTATCCATGTACTTAATATTGCATTTTGAATGTGTTCTCTGTTTACAGGTACTGCCCACGATGCACCCAAGAGATGAGAAAAAAATAGTCTACTTCAACAATGCATCCTGAATTAAATGTCCAGTTGTTACAACCTATTCAGTGGAAATCAGTTAACCTTTTGTAAAAGTGCCTTTGCTATGTAGACGACCATGAATGTAACAACAGGGAAGAATATTAAATGCATTTCCCAGTTGCTGCCAGCAGAGGGCTTGGATCTCTTTTCATTTTGCTTTAGAATAAAGTTTATTTATGGTGATGACTTTTATGCCTTGTCTAAATAGCTTGATCTTGTATCATACTATCTATAATATATAAAAATATTGTTATGCTAATCTAAACGCCTGGCTCTCATAGGACTTACATAAAATACTTACGTTGGCATACCGGTGAATCGTAGAATGAAATTATTTGACAAAGTTAGAATCCGATCAGTATAGGGAAATGTAGTTCCTAGAGAACGCCATCTCAGCGCAACGTAATAGAAATGTAGACTACATTTCCCGTCATGCAACACAGCCGTCAGAACGCATGGACGGAACCCATTTGCAAACAGTAGTTTGAGGTTGCAGAAAACTTATGATCACAGTTAGTTTTTGCGCGCATTTTAATAATATTTATTAAGATTTTTATAATAATAGGTTAGAATAAAAACCTGATCAACCGAAAAAGCTACGTTTAGTGAAGTCCAAACACTGGGCTGGGTCGACAGTTCCGCTTCCCCTCCGCCATAGCAGACAGATCCCGGGTCCAAGAAGAAGTTAACTCAAAAAAAACTTACAAGTACGTCGACACGGCATCCCAAATCATAATCTCAAGGGAAATATTCATATAATACTTGCAGCAAAATCTGTTTATGAGAGTGAAAAAGGCGGGGCTAAAACTTCGAAAAGGTTTGCGGGAGTTCTGGTGAGTTGAAAACGCAAAACCGGTCTAATCTTGACATCTGTTCGGCCAGCAGTGCGCAGACCACTTGATATTCAAAAAAGATGATGTGTATTTATGATTTATCATTAAGCTTTTGATTTTATAATACTCTTGTTTTAATACAGAGCTGTTTGTTTTTCCGTTTAGAAGTATTCTGGGTTATCTTTTCCCAAAGATTATGATTTAACACAAGTAGATAGCCAACAAAAACACTGAGAACTAAACCTTAGTTTCCATTACGCTTTAAAATTTTTACATCAACTGTTGTTTTATATTAGTGTTTGTTGAAGTGTTCTTGTGTGAGGGAAAATTTACTGTAAATCAAAGTCACATCTTATAGGCATTTCTTTCATGTTTTTGCTGGTATGTCATGTGACAATTATGTTTTCTTTTCTTCATGGAAAACAAAGTAGATGTTTGGCATAAATCACAATTTAAGTCACCTTTCACCTTCATTGTATGAAAAAGATGCAGTAAATAAATGGTGACTGAGTTCTCATAGCATTCTGTCTAACATCTCATTTTGTGTTCCACAGAAGAAATGAAGTCATGAGGGTGAGTAAATAATGACAATTTTAATTTCTCTAACAATAAGCAAGAATTTTGCGGTTAGAAAGCTTGCTGCTGCTTCTCTGGACCAGCACATGCCTTTATTCTCCAATAGCATGGAAGGAGGATGACAGCTAGGCTTAGTTCAGGAAGTCTTGCTCAGTATTTCCTTATATAGAAGCTGCAAATACAAAAGGCCCCTGGTCTGTCTTCCTGTAAACAGTTCCCCTACACAACCACACATCTGTAAAAGAGAGGCGTGCTCTGATATCTTTGTTTTGGTCCAGTTGGTCAGATTAAGTGCAAGTGTGTGACCTATAGTGGTCGTGACTGGTAGGATCAGGAAATGCTTCTGTTATCCGTCCACCAATCAGAAGAGGAGGGGATATGAGTAATAGGAAGTGGTGGCACTCTGCTGATGTTTTTCTTCTTCTTCACTGTCTCGCTAGTGGTTGCTTGAAGATTGTAATCAGCACTATCAGAAGTAACATAGCTGGAATATGTTTGATAGATTCAGTCCATGGAACTTGTATCAGTGCATCATGTCTGTTGGCTGAATGCTGATTAGTGAATAGTGATGTTCTTGCATTCATACTGAGGACCCACATTGCATTCATAGTCACTGGCACCTTATGTTTACTTTTGACCCTCCAGTCTGTAAGTGTGAAAAACAAATATATTCTGGTTAGTTTAGGCCTGGCGCGGCTCATATCAAAGAGGCTCAGGGGAGCAGACGGGAATGTCCACAGTCCCATGAGCTTTCTCTGGCATTTTCATCTCACTTCACCTGTTCGTACACACAAACTGAGAGAACAGCGTTCAGCCTTTGGCTGAAGTCCTACTTACTTTTTATGCATGACATAAATGGAAAAAGAATATCTTTATGATGTTATTGGAGACAATCCTGTAATTTGTAACAAGTGGTAGTTTCTGTGATATTACTGTGAATTTATGCATTTGGCAGATGCTTTTATGTAATGGAACTTACGTTGAATTCAAGGTTTAGATTTTTATCGGTTCACGTGCTCCCTGGAAATCAAATCCATGACTTTGGTCTTACTAGCGACATGCTCTTCTTTTGGTCTTGAATTCATGTCTTAGATTAGTCTATCACTGTGTGTTGATAATGCATAAATCAAAAGTAAAAGTAAAAACAGAAAGTAAAAAAAAAACAACAACAAGCTGACTCACCTTTGGTGTCAAATGGTGTCTTGTCACAGCAGTGGGGCAAATGAAAAGCCAGTAGCTGTTGTCAAGCATAGATCATGGCATGCTTCACTTGAACTACAGTACATCTATTTATGTGCACTTTTTCATTTAGCAAACACTTTTGTCCACTTTGTGTTCTTTGAGATTTTTTTATATTGAATAGTTATCTTCTTTTAAAGCAGGGTTCCTCACAACTGGTCTTGGAGGGCTGCTGCCCTGCAGAGTTTAACTCAAACCTTGGTCAAACTCCCCTACCTGTGAATTTCTAGTGATCCTGAAGACCTTGATTAACTTGCTCATGTGTGTTTGGGTTGGAGCTAAAATCTGCAGGGCACTGGTTTGAGGAACACTGTTTTAATTCCTCACATCAGTGCTTGAAGTGGGCCGGTATGCTTTTTCGTGCGTACCGGCACTTCTGACATGTTGCCAGTACGGAGTTCTTCTTTTTTTCCCACTTCAAGCACTGTCTCACATAATCAGCAAAGTTCAAGATTAATGGATGATTGACAGACGGACATGTGGTCATCAGCAGGGCTCTAGAAATTACAACTGAAATGGTCACAGATTAGGGCTGGGTATCGATTCAGATGTCCCGATTCGATTCGCAAGCTCTGGAGATGACATTCGTGTTCATATCATCATATAGTGAAACGACAGAAGCTGAAAACACAGCGAGCGTCATCCGCGCTTTAGTATGTGTGTAGTAAACAAAACAGTGCGCTGCGCTGGAAAAATCGATTTTTTTTTGCCCAGCCCTATCACAGATGTGATAAAAAAAAATACTTTTTGACAATAATTTAAAATCTGGTCACCTTTGACTTTGTGGAAAACTTTGTATGCATCCATTTTGTCTTGTGACTCATTGGTTAAGTACATCTTCAGAGTGCATGCCAGTATTTCCTGCATGCAACAGTGAATTCAGCACAAGCCTTGATGTCTGATTCACAGATAAATAGTTCTTACAAAGCAGTTCTCAGTGAAAAAGATTCTTGAAGCATTTTAAAACTAATCTCAGTCATTTTGGAACAACACTCGCTCTTTATCAAATTATTCTGTAATTTATCAACAAAATAAGTCATTTGGCTAATTTGATTCCTAAATGTTTTCTTTTTTTCCTTGGAGTCCTGAATCACATTATGCATGGCTTCACAGAAATAGTTGGGGAATCAGTAGCTTGAGGCCGTAAGATTCATGATAGCGCTAGACTAACAGTTTCTAAAGTGGAAACCTGAAACACTGGCTCTAAGTGGAAAAAACTCATGAAATGGACCATTCAGAAGTGTGTTTGAGCCTATAAAACACCGTGTGCTGGAGAGAGTCACACCTCTCCAAATCACTGTCATTAAGGGACAACAAGTTAAGACTTGATGATCCCAAATAACATTCGTTAAGGAAAAATGGAAAATTTCATATTGAAATCTGCAATGATCTGGCAATCTGTGTAGTGTCATTCAATACTGAATGAAGCCATGCTTCAAACAAGAGATTTTTCTTTTCACATCCTTTTTTATAGATTTGTGGGGGTGAACATGCTCTCAAATCAAGCTTTTAAGACACCTCCCATAATCCTGATTCATTCCTAGTAGTGTGATTTTTGTGTAACTGGTGGTTCCTCAGAGCGAGAGTCCGTAATGTGTAAAGGTATGTCCAGTCTAATGTCTCCTCCGCTGTAGAGCCTTACATCAAGCCTGAGGAATGGTATATCACTATAGCAGTGCGCAGCACAAAGGCATGACTGCACTCGCAGCATTTCATCCTGCTGTGGAATGAAGCACGCCTGCTTCAACACGCCTCTTATCTCAGCTCTCTTCAGTGGAAGCACAGGGAGAAAGAGGCTGTGGACACACCATAGCAAAGACCCTCAATGTCCCAGGAGTGTGCCAGATCTGGGCCAGGGACGTCAGTTGGATCTTTCCATCAGGGTTCTTCAGGGTGAGATTGCATCACTGGTGGTACTGGCATCTGATTGCATCCTTTTTCCTTGATTTCTTTAGAGTTGACTATGCGCCTTTTTTACAAGCTGAAGTGGAAGTGGCTGGAAAAAGCTCTTTAATCTGTTTGCGCTTCAAAATAAATGAATTGAATTCATTTAGATTTTATTTGTTTGACTACTTGATAAAAGATACAAGTGTTTTGAGCTCATGGTTTTTGTTTTGTGTAGGGTTTATGTTGATGTTAGATTTCATGTGATACATATATAAGTTTTATTTCTATTTCTAACCAGACTAGCTTCTGAGAATGTTTGTTGCAGTAACTGCACTGATCTTTATTCTGCCCATGTTTCTTCTCTATAGGGAAACAGGAACTGGCTCACGAGTGTTAGTCTAAGATCATGCAAGTCTTGTGCAATAGTTAGTCTTTTATTGATCGTTTCTCAACTCTTCAGAAATATCTTTGTTAAAGCTCAGGTAAAACATGATTTTTATGTCTTTTTAAGGATCTTTTAAAGCTTTCATGATGAAAGCACTTCTTTGGGATTTATTTAGGTCTCAGTTATAGAAGTTAAGTGATGTAGTGAAATGTTTCAACTAAACCATTCAACTAAACTTTTAATATTGCATCACTGTTTGTCATTTTCATTTAATTTGAGTTTGCTCAGCTAGACTGTTGATTCTGGAAATTATTCAGAAGAAACCATAAAGTGTGTAATCTATGGATGCTTGAAGCAATTACTTGTTAGAAAAGTCTTTTTCAGATTCATTAAACCTCAGAACTCTTGGCCATCACACTCTCTTTTGTCTCTGCAGTTGTAATCAGTCAGGTATCTATGGCCTTTGTTGTTTGAATACAATGCACAGTTGAACTGTGCTGTCAAACAGGAAGATATTGTGGTCATGTTGAGGTTGAATTGCATATGATTTGCTGAATTAACCTCACTAAGGTGAGACAGGGTTTTACCTTATTTGGACATGTTGATGACAGGGGCGGAGAGGATGCAGACAGCCGTGTGATGGCACTGATTTCTAACCAGACTTGACAGACTGTTGGCGAAAACCCCTTTGTACCATTTGAGGTCATATGCACCTGATGGGGTTTTCTATTATGCTACAGAATAAATATCTCTTCCTTACTAGTAGAAATTTGAAAGCAAAAAGATTGTATTTTGGTTAAGATGCTATCATAGCCACTAGACAGCAAGGTAGCAAAGCTCACCAGGTTTAAGTTGCTTATGTCACCCAGCCATCCTTAGCAAGGCATCCTGTTGTGCAGACTTGCATTCTGACCTGAAAACCTCAGCACTTTCAGTTGAAATTATGACCTGCTAGAACTGTCACTCTCAGAGGATTGCAATGCTAAGCTAACTGACAGCTCTCTGTTACAGATGAATGGCAGTGGCAGCGAATACTCCAAAAAGTTTCAGTTGCTTTCTCATAGGGGCGGATTGTTGGCGGATCTCAAAAAAGAGTTGGCAGCTAGCAGAACATGAGACAGAGTCTCTCTGTCCATGCTAACTTGTTGACTGGCTGCTTTTGTAGCACAGTAGCAGCTGTTGGCTAGTGGTTATTTAGCTTTGCACTGTTTTAGCAGACTCTTGGTGTGGCTATTGTGGTGGTTGGAAAGCTCTCATAAAAGGTCTGTACAATAAAATTCTGAAATTGTTCCTCTGAGATTTTACTGAAATAGTTACATTGTTTTTATGGGCATTTAAAGCAAAGCATTACTGGATGAACAACCTTGGCTGGTTTGTTTATTTTGCTTGTTATTTGCCAGTGATGAATCTGATTTTCCCTGATAAAGTCTCCTGCCAAAATGGCCTGTTATCTGTCATTCTCTTCATTTGTTGTATCCTAATTGTCTTTAGTGCAGCAATTCATTTATCAGCTAAGATGTTTTTTTCTCTGCTGCAGGTTGATCTCTGAAACCCTATTACCCCTCTGAGTGTGTTTCCCTGTCATGTCTGACAACGGAGAGCTGGAGGACAAACCCCCTGCCCCCCCAGTCAGAATGAGCAGCAACTTTAGCACCGGCATCAAGGACAGTATGTCAACAAACCCCAGTTCTAAACCCCTGCCCTCTGTCCCAGAGGAGAAGAGGGACAAACCGCGCAACAAGATCATATCCATATTCTCAGCAGAGAAAGGTAGGACCAGACGACCCAGGTTGCACTAAAAGCAGTATTTTGGGTCAATACAAAACACAATTTGTGCTGAATACCACAGAAAAATACGTGACTCAAAAATTGGGTTTTCTTTAAGTCACAAAAAATTGCACTTAGATTGTCTTTCTTTATTATATTGTTGAGCTGCAAAGTTGTAATTTTTGCAGTAGGACTTAAAATTTTAAGCAGATGAACTTGTGATATTTTAACAGCATCATTCATGTATTTTAATTTTCTCTCTGAAAACGTTTAACCTCATGCATGTTATGAGGTTTGAATTTAGCTTTAAAGTTAATAATTAAGAATAGTTTTTTGTATGTAAATTCTCAATGAAGATTTTTTGGGGTTTTCTCAGCTTATTTGTAAAATTTGTTTGTTTACGTGATTAATTTGATTAAATATTGGCTTATTTAATTTTTGATTCACTTTTTAATTGATGGCCCTGATGGTTCTTTGCTTAAAAAAAAGTCTTATTCTCTTTCTCCTCTTTGGCCTTGGATAAAATTGTAATGTACAAGGTTAGCAAGTGATTCTATCACATTAGTCTCATGTTAAGATTAATGTTCAATTCTAGTTGCTATATTTTCAAATCAATGTGTTTTTCAACATTTATGGCATTGCCCTGTTTACTTTCATTGTTAATGGCTTACTATAACGCAGATTTTTGCTTTTTTAAAATATTTTCAATGGTAATCAATGCCACAAATGGTGACAATAAGGCTCTACTTGTATTGAACTCAACACATTCCTTTAATTGACCTTATAGTACTCTATAGTACGCTGTAACTGATCACATTTTTGGACATAGAGGCTCATCTCAGACTTGGGATCATTGATCGTAAAAAATTATCCACTGAAATCTGTCATTTTGCCGGTGACCAGAAGCATGTAACCACAACCATTCTTTCTGTTGAAGGAAGAAAAAAAGACAAGGATAAGGAGCGTCCAGAGATTTCAAACCCTTCAGACTTTGAGCACACCATACACGTGGGCTTCGATTCTGTCACGGGGGAGTTCACTGTGAGTCAGACGTACTTTCCTACTTTCTTTTAGTGCAGTTTACCCATGCTGCCCCTAATCTGTCCTAATCCATCAAATGCTGAAAGAATTGCCAATTCAATTGCCTAGATTGAATTCTGTGACCATTTGTCTCCTGTCTGTCATAGTGCGCTGATTTAATTTGCTGAAGTTTAATTAATCAAATTATTAGATAGGCCCTAACCCTTTCTTATTTTCATTCCCATTTCTCTATCTTTCTCGTTTCTGTCTCTCAGGGCATGCCAGAGCAGTGGGCTCGGCTGCTGCAGACCTCCAACATCACAAAATCTGAGCAGAAGAAAAACCCTCAGGCTGTGCTGGATGTGCTCAAATTCTACGACTCCACAGGCAACAGCAGGCAGAAATACCTCAGCTTTACAGGTAAATGAGTACATATACATAACACCAGTCTAACTGTATTAGTATTTATCCTTTAATGTCTTTGTTCATTCTCTTGATTTCAGATAAAGATGCACCACCAGCAAAAAAAGGCTCAGAGCAATCACCAGTCAAGGATCCTGATGATGATGACGATGATGAAGCCCCACCTCCTGTTGTAGCACCACGTCCTCAACATACCATATCTGTGAGTGAACGTTTTTTTGTCATATTTGTCATATCAAAAAGGCGATATTATTCTTTCATTTTATACTTTATGGTTCTTGAGTATATGCCATATTGTTGGTGTCTTTGTTGTCTGGATAGGTATACACTCGTTCTGTCATCGATCCCATTCCGGCACCTGCTGCCATTGCAGATACAGATGGTTGCAAAGCTGCAGATAAACAGAAGAAGGGCAAGGGCAAGATGACAGATGAGGAGATTATGGAGAAACTTAGTATGTCTTTGGTGATTACTAAACATGCTAAAAGATGCTCACTATAACAATACTGTTATTATATGCACTGCAACATGTGAAAGTGATTTTGTATGACAGAATTCAGTGTGGTTGTGATTGATCTCAGGAACTATTGTCAGTATTGGAGACCCCAAGAAAAAATACACAAGATACGAAAAAATTGGACAAGGGTAAATATATTCAATGATTCATAGCTATTTTGGAAGTTTTACTTTCAATATATCAGTCTGTATAACAAAATCAGTTAGCCAGTAGCTGAATTTATCAACTTTGAAAGATTGCTTCAATTGAATGTTTTCTCTTTACAGTGCGTCTGGTACGGTGTACACAGCCATTGACGTTGCTACTGGCCAAGAGGTATTTTCTCTATTCAATTCTTAATCTAATTTTAATCTGTTTCCTGAGAAAAGTCCTTGAATAAAACAACATCATAATTGAATTTACATATGGGTCGAGGACAATTGCTTAATGTACACTACTGTTCACGCATTAAATAAAAAATGATAAAGACATTCATAATGTTACAAAAGATTTCTATTTCAAATAAATGCTGTTTTTAAATGATCTATTCATCAAAGAATCCACATTTTTAGCAGCACAATTGTTTTCAACATTAATAATAAGATGTTTCTTGAGCACCACATCAGCAAATTAGAATGATTTGTGAAGAATCATGTGACTCATTTTAAAATATATTAAAACTGAATTTTAAATTGTAATAATATTTCATAATATTACTGTTTTTATATAATTTTTGATCAAATAAATTCAGCCTTGGTGAGCATAAGAGACTTTAAAAAAAACTTGCCTATAACTTAACCATACAGACCCCAAACTTTTCAATGGTAGTGTATTTAATATAATTAATCATACTACATTAACATGAAATGGACCACCATAATTTAATTGTTTGAGTTTCTTTTTGGCCTTTCTCAGTTAGTTGACACAGGCCAAGCAAACTGACAGGGATGTGTTTCCATAGGTTGCCATCAAGCAGATTAACCTACAGAAGCAGCCCAAGAAGGAGCTGATCATCAATGAGATCCTGGTGATGAAGGAGATGAAGAACCCAAACATTGTCAATTTCGTAGACAGGTAGTTACATCCCTTAAAGCTATTTAAACATGGCTGAAGTCATGTTATTTTGTGCATTATGTCCCATAATATGTTTCCAGCCATTAGGGGTTGCACCGACTAGTCGACTTCAATGCTCTTCCATGACACTTTATGCTTGACGTCGACTAGTCGCTGGTCCTATAGAGGGCGCAACAGGATAAGAAATCTTTGAAGGACTTCCACATTTCCTCTCCGTTTCCAAACAGTTAAAATGACAAATAAATGCATACTCTGAAAGCGCTCCGCAAGACATGTGAGATTATATTACTGGATGCTCAAAATTGAACAGGATCGACTCGACTTTCATCACATAAAAGTTGACTTTAAAAAAATCAGAAGTCGTTCAACCCCTTCCAGCCATCTACTGTAACATCTACCTTCTGTTTTTTGTGTGTGTGCAGCTTCTTGGTAGGAGATGAGCTCTTTGTGGTAATGGAGTACCTTGCTGGAGGCTCTCTGACCGATGTGGTTACAGAAACCTGCATGGATGAAGCACAAATCGCTGCTGTCTGCAGAGAGGTACAGTATTTCTGGCATAGTTGTGAGCTCTGAACGGTTAGTTTTTCCCATCACCACCTGAACATTGTTGTCTGTTTCCTCCACAGTGTTTACAAGCTCTAGAGTTCCTGCATTCAAACCAGGTCATTCATCGAGACATCAAAAGTGACAATGTTCTATTAGGAATGGATGGATCTGTCAAACTAAGTGAGTCCACAATCCCACTGTCAAGACCTGGCTTCATTATGTCAGAACAGTTTGTTTGAATTGTTTGCTCTCCTCTTTTCAGCTGATTTTGGGTTCTGTGCTCAAATCACGCCTGAGCAAAGTAAGAGAAGCACTATGGTAGGAACACCCTACTGGATGGCCCCTGAGGTGGTCACACGTAAAGCATATGGGCCCAAAGTGGACATATGGTCCCTGGGTATCATGGCCATTGAGATGGTAGAGGGCGAACCTCCATATCTCAATGAAAACCCTCTGAGGGTGAGCCATACTTGTCTTATACTTTTATTACTCTGTCACTGATTCATTTATGAAGTCTTTTTGTAATTAATGACGGTGCTCAAGTGATCTGTTTAACTTTAAATAAAAGATATATGGCATTAATGCTTAATGTTCATCTCCAGGCGCTGTACCTCATCGCTACTAATGGCACCCCAGAGCTGCAGAACCCAGAGAAGCTGTCACCCATTTTTAGAGACTTCCTAAACCGCTGCCTTGAGATGGATGTGGAGAAGAGAGGTGGAGGAAAAGAACTCTTGCAGGTAAAGAGCAAAACTGAATCCCAAAATGCCTCGACAAATGATTTTGTCAGTTTATACCTCTGTTTGAATACACCAGGGTTTCCTAAACGGGGGTTTGGGAGGGAATTCGCAATAGGTTTGTGATGTGATGATAAGCTAATAATTAATCAAATTGAATGTAAAATTAAAATAGATAAATAGGGGTTTGGCTGACAAAAAGGGTTTGGGAACCCCTAGCATAGACTGTGGAGGTATTGATGACTAGTCGATTTTCTGGAAAATGTGCTAATGTCCTTCTGTCTCCTGCAGCATCCTTTCCTCAAGCTGGCGAAGCCTCTCTCCAGCCTCACTCCCCTTATACTTGCTGCCAAGGAGGCAATGAAGAGTAACCGCTAGCCGTTTGTCACTATGTACCAATGGCCAAATTCCTTCTCACAACCGATTCCTGTGAGAATCTCAGCAGGGTCCCCCTTCTAGTCCCGTGAAGGACCTTTGCTATTCAGCCCTGAGGACCCTAGTCATCTCCACCCGGGCAACTAACTTGCACAATCACCATGTCTTGCCTCCTCACACCAAACTCTCCTTTAATGTGCCTTTAAGGGAATACAAAACCAGAGGAGCCACTGACTGTAGACCTCTCTTGTTTTCTACTGATGTCTCTCATTGTATTTGTTTAATGTAAACGGTTCAGACACCATTGCATTGGTCAGTGTGTACCTGAACTTTTCAAATTTCTCTTGTATTTTAATTAGTTTTGAGTGTTGTTGAACTCTGGCCTAACAAAGTGCTTTTTTCCCTTTTTTACCTTCTAGAGAAGTATTACTTCTCTAACTGTCCCATCCTCTCTTAATGACCTGTCACTTGTGCCTACTACCTATTTGCCTTTACTTGTCTCAACAAAATGGAACAATTTTGCTGTATGAAATTAAATGAACCATTTCTGTTTTTTAAATTTTATTGCAAAACTTAAAGTTTATTAAATCGTTTTGTATATTATGTATTTTGATTAGCATGCAGTGAAAAAACAGGAATCAGGACATTTTTACAAGTTTTGTATTTATGTGTATGTATACAGTATTTTATATTTTAACTAAAAATCTGACAGAATACCAGACCTTAATGCATCTCCAGAGGTTGTCATAGAATAATTTGAATAATTTGCTATATTCTTTGCATGTTAAATCTAACTTGTTTTTAACATAACATGTCAATGAGAAACATTTTCAGACGTTCCAATTGAGTAAATGCACTTCCTGTCTTTTTTTCTGCTCTGTTTCCTATGAGATACAAAGTTTTTAATGATGAAACCATCATAAAATATATCCTTTGTAAATTATTATTAAAACAGACTTGGAGCAAAGATGGTTGAACCTGTAACATCGACTGGTACATTTCTAGAGCTTGCATCATTCTGTCATGACTCTTAAAAGATATAGTTGTTACACTGATTACAGTACTTGGATGAAATCTAAATGAAGTTCATGTTAATACTGCTGTGAATCCTATTTGGTTAGACTAGTGTTTAATAATCTCTGTACAAGAAAAGGATGTCCTTTCATTCTTTTTTTTTCTTTTTTTCAGAAGGTATAATTAAGACATTTGTTTCCTTTTTAATGAAGCTGTGATGTTTGATTAATAGCGTGAGCATGTGAAATGATATATTTCCCCTTGAACACTTGCTTTAAATGCACAAGTTTGCAAATAGCACAGAGGAACAGGCATAATCCAAACGATTTGAGAAGTTGCAGAGCTGAATTTGAGAGGCGTCAGTACTTCCTCTTTGTAGTCCTTCATGAAAACAGGAAGTTTATATGTTAGGAAAGAACCGTTCAGCTTTCGACTCTAGTGTTTCGCCAATATCTAGACATCACATGGTGTTAAACTTCATTCAGAGGTGAAATCTGTAACTTTTTGGGACTAGATCATGGCTGACACTTTAGAGAATAACTCTGAGTGCCCTTCATCTGCCAAGAGTGAAGCTTCAGCGGGTGGTCTGAGCATGCTGGAGAGCTCGATGCAGGAGAACCGTCAAGATGGTCAGGTTGTGTTTGAAGACTGTATTTGCTGGTTATTTGCAGGATGGACTGCACAGTCTCCGGCTGGACGGCAGCTTCATCGACGTCAGCCTCCTCGTACAGGGTCAGAGCTTCCAGTGCCATCGAGTGGTCCTTGCTGCAGCCAGTCGTTATTTCAGGTTAGCCAGTAGCACATTTAGATCATTTGATGTGATATACAGAGAAATTAGTTTGCTTGTTTCATGTAACATTTATTTTTATAAAATAAAAAAGTAAGAGAGCAGTGTTTCTTCTTTAAATAAATATACGGGCTGGGCGACATGGCCAAAAAAATTATCACGGTCATTTTTTTTTCATATCAGTCGATATCGATAATTATCACTATAAATGTCAACTTTTTATTTCTTTCAAGTTTAAAGGCAGATTTGTGCTCTAATGTGAAAGTTGTAAAAACCAGACGGTTAAAAACTATTCTTTATGTTCAGAACATGACAAACACTTCACGTTTTTGAATTCTTTACACTTTACCAGCCATTTTCCCTTAACAAAATAAGTATCTTAATAGAAAAAAAAAACAATTTCTTAGTTCTGCATGTTCTAATGAGTAATATTGTTTCAAATCAAGAAACAGGTTTGTGTTGCCTGATAACAGGCTATTAATAATATACAAAAAATGTCTTAGAAATATACATTTGATAGTAGCTTGAGTTAGGATGCAGATGTAGATTTATGTTAATTATCAAAATCAGTTATATCTGTAGAAATTGTAGCAATCTAATTTTTATATGGTGAAATTTAATTATTCTGACTGTTTGAGAAAAAAACAGTCTGTGGAAAAAAATATGAAGCCCGTGCATCACTTTCAGGTACATTCATAATCCTGTGAAACTTTTTTAGCGCATCTAATGTTCTCTCTGTCTTTCCATGTTCCCTTCCAAAAATTAGCTATGGTTTTACTATGAATAAAACCAAAAATCATGGTTCTTGTAGCCATGGATGATTAACCACGAATTAACCATGGTTTTTACTGCAAATAATAGTTTACAAAGAAGCATTAAGATAATATTTTTGTGGTTATAAAGTCAGACCTAAGCCAACAACAGCCTAAAATGCATTATATAAAAATTAGGCAATAATGATTGGTTAATTAATAATTATATGGTTTCATTGATTAACACTGTTAAAGTAAATAATGTAATACAAAATAAACAATTTATGTACATTACATATTATTACAAAAGGCCTGGTAATTGCTGCTGTTACACTACAGGACAATCAAGTCCTTTATATTGACCAAACATTTAGGCTAATTCAAATATCCACATAATCTTTCATTTTTGGCCACCTTTTTGCCACAGAAATACTACAGCCTCTATAATTTATTCAACAAAAACATGTGGACATCACAACCCTTACAAAAAAAAAAAAACATTTTCGTAGTAAAATTGTAGTAAAACTGCTTAGTTTTCTTTTGCGTGATTTCTGAATGCTTGAGACTATAAAATCAATTAGACAACTGTATTAATAAAATAATAGCCATAGGTAACTGTCTAGAGCTATAATTGTAATTTATTTATTTACTTTTATATTTTATTAAAAGTCTATTTTGACCCCTATAGTAGTTTTTTTTTTTTTTTACATCCATAATATTTGACAATACGATTCTGCTTAGGGCACCCATAGTAGCATACATTTAGATCATGATAATCACAGTTAAAACCACAAATATAGCACCTCGATACCATGGTAAAAAATGTAATATGGCTTAGGTATTTTTATGAAAAACAGTAGTCTAAATACATTTAGTAATTATATTCCATTACTCCTCCTTCAATACATTTAATACATGTCTACATTAATAATATAATACAATTTTACACAAATACCCACATTTCTGACACAATACCATAGTGCAGTTAGTGTTACTACAGTAAATCTATGGTAGGCTAAATGATGGCGATTTGTAGATTAAAAAGCCTTCTGACTATATCGTTGCGCACAACGTTTCTCCTGTTTGTCAGCGCTGTTTCATCTGGCTGTAAACCAAGTTATTTGTGTTCCTCGCTGAACTCAAGCACTTCACACTGGATCTCACAGCACCGCTTGATCGAGACTCATCAGTGAACGCATCTGCTCTAGTGAAGCTTGTGCCGCTATGGGATTAGATCTCTGCCACAATTCTGCGTGCGCAAAAGTGCGTTTTGTGGAGAAAATGTTTGTCTTTGTAGAAGAAAGTATTTCGAGCGCAAGAAAATCAATTTTGCATTTAAAATAAGTTTTTGGATTCATGCAAACCTCTTTTGCGCGTGCAAAAGCTTGCTCACCTGCATCCTCATTTATAAAATGTTGTGTATAAACCATCCTAAATTTGTTCTAAGATCATTTCTCAAATGTGCGTAACTGCGATTCAGAGAAAATGAACGTGCGCACAAAAACACCTGTGTACGCCTCTCTTCCAGATGTGACATTTATAAATCGCAAATTATGTTAAAATTGTGCACAGCTGACTGGTGTCAGATCTCCGCCTTGTAAGCTCCCCCTAATTATTATCATTACCATATAAAAGAGCACACGCCAATATCCAAATTTCTATGCTTGAGAATGACGAGCACATAGAAAATAGAAAAAAACATCCTACTTTTAAAATCACTTGCTATGACAACTAATAAAAAGTTTAGTATCACGAAATTCTTGCAAAAAAAAAATCGGACGTTTCATATCATAATAAAATAAATTATTACACGATTATGGTCTCCGGTCTGAAAAAACCTGCATGTGATTTGGCATTTCTTTATATTTACACGGTTTACTAATGCTGCTCAAATGTGCCATTAATGTACTGACACAAAAATATATAGTGTATTTTATACAAATATAACTGATGTAAATGACAAAAACAAAGTTTAAGGCTGATGTCTCTATTCATTTTCACAGAAGCAAAGACCGTTTTTATAAATATGAACGTTGCCGTGGATTTTAGCGTACGCACACTCTAAGATCAAATCTGTGCGTATGCACATTTTATAAATGAGGCCCCTGATGCCCACCCTCAGTGCTATCTAAATGCCAACGGCTCGCTTGCTCAACACAACCCAGCGTTACAATATGCCATAATTCCAGCCAATCAGAGACAAGGCTGCTAAATTCTGATTGGCTGCCTTGACAACCAATCACAACGTTCCTTGCATTACCACGGCGGCAGAAGAGGAAAAATACAGTGCATGCATAATTATTATGCAAGTTGATATTCTGATTATATTATTTTCCAAGCACATTTTACCAATTCCAAACGACATCAATCTTAATAACTACTATTAATCTTCTATTTAATCATTTATAATTGATATGTAATTATTCATGAAGGCTGGAAGTGAAAAATGTCTTATATTTAGGTGTGCATAATTATTAAGCAGATTTTCTTTTACAGATAAAATGAGCCAAAAAAGAGATTTAACTCGGACTGAACATAAGTTTTGGGAGTTCATTTTTAGTCCATCTCGAGATTTTATCAGTAGAAGATGACCTGCTTAATAATTATGCTCACCTGAATATAAGGCGTTTTTCACTTCCAGCCTTCATGAACAATTATATAAGTGATTAAATACAAGAGTAGTTATTAAGATTGATGTTGTTTGGAATTGGTAAAATGTGCTTGGAACAAAATATAATCAGAATATCAACTTGCATAATAATTATGCATGCACTGTATTT